TAAATCAAGAAGAAGGTAGCCATCCGAGAAAAGTCTAAATCTCACCTTTTCGAATCCAGTCTAATTTTTTAGTCACGTTGTTACCTTGAGAGAATCATCTCGCGTAACTGGAACTCACTCTTTCTTTTAGATCGCTGAATAACCTCGTAACGCCTCGGGAATTCTGTGTGTAGATCACTGAGATTACCGTGCCATGACTTGGCCGGCGATGGCAATTTGTATTGGTTTTTATTTTGGGTGATGCGGAGGACTTTTATGGGGTGAGTACGACAGGCATTAATACAATGGAAGAATCTTTATTGAGTGGAGACTGGATGTTTTGTACATGGGTAACCTAGTTCAGTTTCACTGGATCTTCCAAACATGCTAAAACTGGAATTGTGGGTAGGGGTGTGGTTCACTAGGACAGAAAGCGACTTTTTCGCGTTTCGCAGCGCGAAACATTTTTCGCTGCGGGAACCTCGGGTCCACTGATGATCAGCGGTGGACCTGAGGTTCCCGCAGCGAAAATGTTTCGCGCTGCGAAACGCGAAAATTCGCTTTCTGTCCTAGTGAACCACACCCTGTGGGTAATAGTATGTATACCGCATTGAATGGGGCCGTATTAGGTTGTAAAGCATGCAAGTACAGAACGCGAATCCCGAGTTCCTCTAGGTATTGTTCAAATTTCCCACACGGCCACGAACTATGCTACGCCCCCATTTCCTGTTGATTACTCTTCACATCGAGTAATCAGTCAGTATGGAGGTTTGCCAAGCGCACGGAGGGTGGGCCGGTCGGTGTCTTTCGGAAATCGAGAGGGGAGTTTCCCGATTTCGTTGCGGACGACTAGGTGATTAACTCTACGTGCTAGAGGGCTCCCCCTGAGCTCCGAAGTGTCGCATGATGCGAGCTTCGTTCCCTTCTTCAGTTGAAGAATGGATCTTTTTGCGTGTGGAAAGTGGTGGTGCAGCGGTTCCAAGTCTTCTTTCCTTCCTTGACCCAGGTACACATTGGCCTAAGCGGGTCTTGCACAATGGTCTTTCCCTCTTGGCGACGGATGTCAACATCTCCATTTAGAAAATGCTTCAATCGCACAAGATGGCGAGTGAATTTCGGACAGCCTTCTTTTCCTTGCTTGGTTGAAGCCTAGAATCGGCAGTAGTGGTTTCTAGCATTTCTTGTACTTTAATTGGCTCATTGCATATCATCCTAATGTAAATAAGTTGTTAAGTTGCAAATAAATGGGTAAAGCAACAGTCCCAGCAGAGTTTTCACCTTCAACAATGATGGTGTGGAACGATGCGCTGGCCTTAGCCAAGTCTAAGAAGTACGACTGAATAAAAAGCTCACGAGTGCTATGCTCAGGTGCTGCAATCTCATCGGCCGACTTCCAACCACGCCCACTTCGAAGCCGTTCAGCTCCCTTTCCAGCGGCTTTCCAAGGTGAGTTTTTTGTTCAGTCACACTTCTTATGTTCTTGACTAGGGCTAGCGCATCGTTCCACGCCATTAGTGTCGAAGGTAAAAACCTGCTGGGACTGTTGCTTCACTTAGGAAGAGTGTTACCGTAATCTGTTCTGATTGATCTCGTGGATGTGAGAGAATGTTGATACATAGGCGAATCTAGCCCTCCTTCTCAAGCTTAAGCGAGGTATCCAATCTAAGGTATCTGATCGGCCGGACGCATAGTCGGTCGGACGACAGCAACGACTGCAAGTGTCGCACAGCATTGGATGCGTATCGATCGTCGGACTTGCCTGAGTATTCGACGATTAGATGCAGTCAGACAGTCAGACAGTTGCGACCGTTGCTGTCGGACGACCGACTATGAGTGATCATTTTGTACTCCTACTGACTAGTATAGGGCGCCATTCGTTGCGGGACCCACTGCCTTAACCCGCGGGGATCCCATGCGATCGCGGTTGAATTCGAACATTCCAGCTTCTCACGCATGTCAAGTGACTGCCCTCACCCCCCACCCCCCTAGACTGGCGACACTGCCCCTGGCTCACGGATTCCCCGCTCCACATTGAAGGGTTCACTGTAGCAGGAGGCAGTGGGACCCGTAACGAATGGCGTCCTTTACTAGTCAGAAGGAGTACAAAACGATGCGTTCCGACCGACTATGCGTGCGCCCATCCGCTACTAAGGCATCTGATCTAATATCCACTAGTGCTACTCACATTCCCTCAATGTACTTAGAAGTAGTAAGTGTCCTTCAGCAAGCCATGAAAGGATGTACCGGTAGGTTCTGGTGGTAATCTAAAACAGGCTCCAAACAATCGCTCAACGCGATCTTTCTAGCAAGTGATCCCTGTCGCTAACACTGTTCGCTAGACTCTCCTATATTCTCATCGATTTATCCGTGATCTTAATCCGCTTTTCGGCTTTTTGAGTTTTCTGGTTGGTATAGCTTACAACATATGCAAGTAAGTTCTTCTGTAAATCAAGACCAAGTATCATGTGCAGAGCATAAACAGCAACGACGCATAATTTTAATGGAGCTGATTGTGCACGAGTCGTGCTTTGGACTGTACCATAGTTATGACTTCTACCGAATGCATTGTATACTCTCATCACCAATTATAACTGTCCAACTCCTTTGTTTTACAGAGATTCAGTTCATTGATTGCAACAGTTTTCTTGAAGTGACTGTTTTCTTCATCGTAACGTATGCTTTCGGTTTAGATTTCGCTCATCTTTGCAATCCTTTAAATTATTTTTGCTCAATGAGCAATTTCAGCTCTTCAGGCAGGTCATAATGCTATCGGTGCTGCGTTCTTTAGCCGCGGCGCCGGCCCGTCAGATTGCCGTGCGTAGTGTTTCCACAGAGCCGGCACCCGCTCCGAAAGGGATCGCTACAACAGGTGATTATCGTTTGAACTGTTTCAGTATGCGTGCCATTTTGTGGCAAGTGAACCTTATTTATCGCTGAGTAGGCAGAGGATGTGCGGGAGCCACTCAGAGCCGGTACGCTTTTCCCTTCCCACATTAACCCAAATTCTATCGTGTAAATGAGTATGCGGGTCTGTTATAGATGGGGAGATGTGAAAAAGCATTTCTCCTTGGGGAAAATAGTGAGGTCTGGTCTGGGTCTGATTTTTGAATGGTGCGGATCCATTATCGTTGGTGCGTTCACTACAGCGTTTGTTATTAGCTGCACATTTGAGATCAGATTTCTTCATTTCAAGCGCTTAGTTAGTAGATAGAAGTAAGTATTCGATATGAATTACTTGCCATAGTTGATGTAGCTTGAAGGATGTGCGACTCGAAAATGTAGCAAATTGTGTACCTTCCTTTTTTGAAGATTTTTTCCTCGTTTTCTGGAGCTTATCGAGTCGATTAATCCAGGAAGGAATTTCCAGAAGTTTCTTGCTTTTGCTTTCTGAGAAAGTTTTGTCCTTCAAAACTTCCTGCAATTAGTTGAAGTTTGTCAGCTATTTCGTGGTTGTTTTTAGGAACACCGTTTTTGGAGACGTCCTCCACCGCAGAATATGCGCTGGCTCGTCTTGACGATGTAATGAATATGGTGCAGCGTACATCTCTTTGGCCACTTACCTTCGGTCTTGCTTGTTGCGCCATTGAAATGATGCATTTCGCTGCTCCTCGTTATGATATGGATCGTTACGGAGTGGTTTTCCGTGCCTCACCCAGACAGGTATACTTAATGCCATTTTTTATTTTTTCACTTCTGACAATTTTTTGGGCAAAACGGAATCCTCGAGGGTAACCTAATGCTCTTGCGCACTACTGAGCTAACCAAATACGACCAATGTCGAGTTTAGCCCTCGTAATATCCATATTTTCGACTGATTCTCCCAATACATTTGAGGGACCAGTGAGGGACATGCTGTTTTTATTTCCCCTGTGCATTGGACAGGTCACCAAATTGACTGAATAATAGACTTGAGGCATGGTTTTAAATGATGCTTGTAGGTGCTGATCTCACTGAGGCAATCCACTCGGCAGTCGCCCTTTTCTACGGAGTCTTTTTTCAAGATTTTTATTCCATACCTATATTTCTAATGGTATTAGTTGCCCTATAAATAGTGTATAGTTGCCCTATAATTATTTTTTTCAAACGAACATTTATCCGTGTAATCCCATGTATTCAAATCACATCATATACCATTCGAAAGTGATTTGTCTGTTCTACGGGCTGTAGGTTTCCCCTCAACATTCCTTGCAAGCACGTTGAGCACGGAGCTCTGAAACGGGATGTCCAGTCGGTGAAAACTAGTTAAGACAGCTAGCTCGAACTAAATCTTCCTTAGGAAGAATCAATCGATGCTGTACCGTCTTTTTAGTCATGACGTTTTCCGAACATTCCGCTTCTAGGTTGTTTAAAAAGTCATACCTTGTCCCTTTGTAAATTCGATGTTTCTGGGAGCGCTAAGCCGTAGTGGTTTTTGAAGTGAATTTTTTTCTCTGAAACCCAATTGTTTCGTATCAAGTGATACCATTGGTAATTCTTTTCTGCTCCACCCTGTGTTTCGTTTAGATTTGCATTATGATTCAGGTTGAATTTCAAGCCTACTGGTAGGTTAACCAGTAAGAGAACGTTCACATTACTTTAAAAAGGAAGTTTCTCTTAAAATGTAGTAAAACGAACAGGATCACATTTTACACCTAGTCTATGCCTGGTTTGGCCATTCCACTTATTTTTAATACCTCTGCCGTAGAAACTTTTGGAATCTTGATTTGAGGAGGTAGTACTCAACCAAATTTGAAAAAGGAACGGCGCGACTTTTTGGGAAGTCTTATAGCGGAATGTCAGGAAGACGTCATGGTTGGGTAGAAGGCATATAATTGGTCGATTTCTCCTCGGGGCTCCTAGGAGAAAATGAGTTGGAGCTTTATGCTTAGAGCTTTATGCCAGTTTGCCTAACTCGTCGACTGGACCTTCCATTTTGCTACCTTCAAATTTAAAACCTCCGCAAAGAATGAAGAAGCAAAACATAATATTTTTCTAGAGCAGATAAATCCATTCGAAAAGTTCGTGACACGATTTAAAAGCTTGTGAGCAGAAAATTTCACCTCTGATGAAAAGCGACACAAACCTGGGACAACCTAATACTTTACCTTTTGGATTTTTTACACCTTCCAACAGGACGCGGTGTATATTTCCCAGACCGGGAGTTGAGCTTTCTAACAAGGCTTCATGTCCTTTAATCCCTCGACACTGACAATAGTGAGGGAGTATATTCCTCGCTCCTCATAGCTACCACACTTTGTGCGAAACGTAGCGCGATTCTCAATGTTAAGAAATATAAGATGGTCATATATTCCTTTCGCATTTATACGGTACTGCTAGCTCCTTTTCGTTATGATTTTGTTTTATAGACTGACCTGATTTTTGTTGCGGGAACTGTGACGAATAAAATGGCTCCGGCTTTGCGAAGGATTTACGATCAAATGCCTGAAGCTAAGTGAGTTATTTTCCATGTTTCCTTTCTCCTTTTCCGCGCTGAGCTTTTTCTAGTCTCAGGTGTCTTCTGAAAGCAATTGCTTTTTGAAGTGTATCGTCCGTTATTTGTCAGAGTCAAAATGACGCATCAATTCAATCCCGACTTGAGCTTTTAAGGACAGATGTAATCTTCACCTGATATCTCAATGTTAGCTAACCTAGGTCGATGTAATTTGGCACATATATAGAAGTAAATGTTGCGGTACAGTGCAGAGAGTTATTGACAGAAAAGCGCAAATGGGGTGATTGGAGACAATTCGAAGACAGTGACTGAAGCGGTTGTTGGGTGAGGCCACCCCAACTCACGGTAAACGTTCAGAAGAAGGAGGTGGTCTTTGTGGCTTATATGAAAGCT